AATAATTTTAAAAAACTTTTATAATAAAAGTTATAAAATATGTTTTCAAGAATATATTCTATAATAAATATATATTCCATATCATTAATAAATTATTATTTTATTTAAAAAATACTAAATACAATTAAATTTTCTAAGCAAATTTGCCTAAAATACGGTTTAAGGGATAATATCATTTTTAAAAATTTAAAAATAATAAATACAAAGTAATCAATTGTGTTCTTATCTAATTAAAACTATTGATTGAATTAGAGATATGCGTATATCAAGATAAAATTAAAAAAAATAAAATATATACTAGATATATTAAAGATATAAAAAGTGTATTAATATCTAACAATAGTAAATTTTATTGTGTAGATTGCACAAAATTCTAATCGATTTCTTGCAACATAATATATACTATAAATACCTAGGTCTTATACAAACTTCTATCAAAAAATAATTATAAAGTACTCAGGTATTATTTTTTGTAAAAAAAAATACTATGCAATATATCTGAGTATCTTATAAAAAAGTACTACAAAAGAGGAATATTTTAGACAATGCACTACAGTAGCTATTTAAATATAAATGGTAAAAGTAGAAACCACCCAAATTGTTTCTAAATAAATTTTTTTCAAACTTTAAATTAAAATATCTTAACTATTAAACCAAACTTGATAAAATTTTTTTTATTTTAATTCTATAACTATATAGAATTAAAATAAAAAAAATTTATTAAATTTGGTTTAATAGTTGTCAAGATATTTTAATTAAAAGTTTTAAAAAAACTTATTAAAAACAATTTGAGCGGTTTCTACTTTTGATCTCCCATATAACTAAATATATAGATACTAGCCAATAACTAAAAAATTAATAACTTTTTTAAAAACAAAAGATATTTAACAAATTTTTTAATAATTTAATAAATTTCTATTTAAACTATTAAACTATTAAAAATTTTTTTAAATATCTTTTGTTTTTAAAAATTATATTAATTTACAAATAATATTAAATATATCTATAGTATTTAATACTATATAAATATTGTTTAATTTATAAATCTGTATAACAAAAACAAAAAAATAATTTTAATAAAAACAAAAAATAAATTACTTTAAAGTTAAGGTAAGGTTTAGAATTTTTTACAAGAAGATTTTTATATACAAAATTTAGCAAAAAAATTTTGTTAGTCTCAAAAATAGTTTTATAAATATAATTTTGAAATATTGGTATTTTTTTAAAAAAAATAAAATTTTATATTACATCTAATTATAAATTTTAATTAGCTATTTTAATAGTTTTGTATAATATAATATTTAATATCTATAGTGTATTTTAGTAGAGGTATTAATTTAAATTTATATATAATTCAAAAATTTAATACTTATATATATAAAAAAATTTTACTAGCTATAACTGGTGGTGATGATTACCGGTTAAATAAATATTTATAATGCATATAATCGAATTGTGTAATCTAAATTAATTGTTAAAAAAATTCTATTTTAGTTTAACCTGTATAAATAATTGCAAGTATATAATCTAAAATTAGCTTTCTAGCAAGACTTCAGTTTAGTTTATTGTGTATAAATAATCTTCAAGTATATGACCTAAAATTGACTTAGCAAAACTCATAGTTTAGTTTATCATATATATATAAATAATTCTTCTTTATGCAACTTAAATTTAATCTGTTAGCAAAAGGTTTCAGCAAAGAGAACCAATATATACACAAACACAATACTATTAACAAATTAAATACTGCCTCTTTATTACGCATTATAGCTTTTACTATCACTTTAATAATTTCTTATATTTAATCACATGATCACGTAATGATTATATAGTTTTATTTATATCACAAGAATTAAAACTCTGCTCTTTGTTTATATGAATTTAATGACAAGTGGCTTTTAGATTTACATACTTACATTTACACTTGCATATTTACATTTATATTTGCAGCTTCTACACTTATATATTTACATTCATACTATTTGCAATCTTTTTAGTAATCTCTTTTTTCAATGAACTCTTTAGTGGTCTCTTTTTTTGGCAGTTTCTTTTTAGTGATCACTTTTTATAGCAGTCTTTGTCTCAACAATCTTGTTTTTTAAGCAATTCGTTTTTTGCGATTTTTTTTTTTTTCAGCAATTCGTTTTTTTAGTGTTTCTTTTTTTTCAACAGCACCTTTTTTTCAGTTGGTTCTGTTCTTTTTTTTAGCAGTTTCTTTTTTAGTGTTCTCTTTTTTTTAGAGTTTCTTTTTTTTTCAACAATCTTTTTTTTCTTCATATCGGTTGCGGTCTTTTTTTCAACATTAGATGATCACTTCTTTTTGCTTTCCTTTAAAAATCGTATCTTTTTTTCTTTAACAAATCATATGATAGAAAGTAAGTAGTGTGTTTGATTTTTTTTTCACAGCCCATAATGATTTTACTTATTCCATCTTGATTTTAGGTTTTTTTTATAAAGAACTTCAAGCTGATTTACCTTTCTTTCTTAATAATAGTAATAACGAAACACATTTTCTCTTTTTTTCTGATGATATTGATACAGTAGAGTGTACTGATAACTTTAAAAAATAATTTGATGGTCAAAATTTCTATGTAGAACTTCAAGAAAATATGAGTATAAAAATTCAGAGAAGCATTGTTATAGAATCTCAAGAAAATATAGATGTAGAATTTTAGAGAAGCATTGTCATAGAACCTCAAGAAAATATGGGTGTAAAATTTTAGAGAAGCATTGTTGTAGAACCTCAAAAAAATATGGGTGTAGAATTTTAAGAAAGCATTGTTATAGAACCTCAAGAAAGTTTAGAATCAGAATTTCAAAGAAGTATAAGTGTAGAATTTCATGATAGTGCGGATGTAGAATTTCACGATAGTAGAAATGTAGAATTTCATGATAGTACAGATGTAGAATTTTATGATAATGCGGATGTAGAATTTCACGATAGTATAGATATAGAATTTCATGATATTATGGATATAGAATTTCACGATAGTATCGGTATAGAATTTGACGATAATACGTATGTAGAATTTCAAGATATTATGGATGTAGATCCTCAAGGAAGTATGGATCTAGAATCTGAGTTAGAAAAGCTAGTTCATATTAATATTGGTGATATATTTATTTTGTAGGATATTGCTGAAATATGATTTAATCAGTATACAAGATCAGCTAGATTTAGTATATGTCATAAACGAGTTAAAGCTGATAAAGATAAATGTACTTTTTCTAGAGAGTCCAAATAATTGATCCAACCTGCCAATGCGAGCATCCATCTAGTAAGATTAGGTGTCCATGGTATATAAATTTAATCATGTCTAAAGCTGTAACAAAAGTAGATATAACTAGTATTGTTGAAAAATACTATCATTCTATGATATCTGATATAACTTTATACGTGCCTAAATATCGAAGGTTGTAAGATAATATAATAGAGCAGATTAAGTTTTATGTAACTAAAGGCAATTTAGGATCAAAACAAATATATTTTTTAATAACTGCAAGTTTTCTAGATCATTTAATTAGCAAGCGAGATATTTATAATGC